ATACAATTATTTGTAGTTACTCAAGCGTGTTGACTAAACAATCTGATCTCTATTTCCATCAATTCGCGAATCGATACACGAAAACACGGGCAGCCGGCGATTTCGAGGAACCGATAATCACGTTTATGTAAATCGTTAGTAACAAATATCGTCGGAACGAATGGTTGCCGCGCTCGCGTAATATCCCGGCCGGTACGAATGTTTAACAGAACTTCTTTCCCGAAGTTCCCCGTAACCAGCGGGCATGCAGTTACTAAAATAAACGAACCGACCAGAAATAAGTGCTCTCTTCTACCTGTTACGTTTTCAGCGGAAACTTGTAAATGACGGGCATAAAATCGCGCGGACCGGTTGGCGCATTCAATCAGTCGAACGTGCGAGCCGCAGTCAGCGGGGGTGATCGAGGGCAGGGCAAAAGGGGAAAAAAGGAAAATAATTTTTAAAAAATCAGAAGAAAGAAAAAATGAAAGAGACAAAAGAAAATATCATACAATGATACTCCGATTAATCTTTAGTATATGTGTCCTTAGAAGACAAAGTGTTAATTCTTTGACTTTCAAATTTCTCTTACATTTTCTTTTCGATAAGTTTGTGTTATTTAATAATGTCTTACTTGAAGTATTATTCGAGAGACGGTTAGTTGATAGAAAATAGTGTAAACAGCTATTTTTATTAATATTATTAGAAGTAATATAATAATAAAATAATATAATATAATATAATTTAAATGTCTCTATAGGAAAGTACATCTATGATTAAAATCGATCAACTCAACTCAACGTAGGATTATTAAGGGTTAAACAAAACAGCGTTAAATAAGATTGTCATGTCACATAGTAAATGGGGATAAGGAAGTATTATTAATGTTAATAAATAGGAATAAAGGACCATTTTTCTTTACAATCATGATTTCTAGTTAAAAGCATCTAACATTTTTCATACGTGTATGAAAATTTCCACCGACGCTGAGACAAGCAATTCTCAATTTTCATTGACAAGAACCGCATTACATCTAGTCACGGATTATTTACTGCTTTCCTGTGTTACCGATAAAAACCGCATTACATCGAATCGATCATTAATCGGGGTCTCGTTGAACGGAGTTTTGCCGCATTCAATTTGCACGCGGCTGAACGTTATACCGTGATCTAAAACGGCGGACAAATAAAACAGACGGTCGGTTGTTGATCGATTGTTCGCCCCGGTTGTTTTCCTAACGGGAATTGCACTTCGTGTAACAATCGAAACACACCTCGGCTCTCGTTACGTCAACGCCAGTTGTCATTCGGACATTAAACTATTGTTGGCTTCTGTAACAACGGGGAACGCGTAGCACGGCCGATTGTAAGGAACAACTGTTTGAAAAGGTGTAATGGCTTTGTCAGCTTCGATCGGGTTCGGAATCGTTACCATCGGCCGAGAGGCTATTAAAGGTGCCGGGATAATGTCATAATGTAAATATAAACGCGTGACGTGTAGGTTAACGGAGGAAAAGAAATTGAACGGGAAAACTGCGTGGACCCATTGGCAATGGGACGCTATTATGATCCGACCGCGAGATTCGAAAGAATGCGGGAACGAACCCGAACTGATAGATGAAAATGTAGGAGGTATTGATAACGCGGCGTTGCGACAGAAATGCACAATGTGACGTAATTGTGAAGTACGGGGATATAAAACGGAAAATCGCGAGTTATTATTTGTGGAAATCGAATGTTAGTCCCTTGTTGAACGAACAAACATCGCGAATATGTTTTATAGTAGAAATATTTTATTGTTGTCATAAATAAGAAATGTTTTATACAGGAAATATTCTGTAAGGAATACTAACTATTTTAATAGCTTGTAATAGTTTTTATTCGAATGATTCATTCTCGTTTTGATTTGAATCTGTCCGATGTAAAAGGATTAGAAAATGGAAACGTGTAATGTGATAAGAATAAAATATGGTATCTAGTTTATGAAAGTTTGTGGATCTTTACGGTTTCCTAGATTTGCTTAACAAAAAAATTCTGAAATAAAATTTGTACTTGTTTTCTCTAGCATACGTTTGATTAAAATAAACGAGAAGTGGATGTACTTAATAGCTGTTAGTTTCTACCTTGTGATTCGTATCAGCGTATAAATAATTTCCTATCTTTATGGAACAATTTACTGAGTGACTGTTTTTTTTTACTTGATTATTAAAGAAGATCTACGTTTCTACCGCGTCAAATCGTCGATACCGCAAACATCTAAATTGAACTATGAAATCTGACGAATTTCTCGTCTTAATTGATGCCTCCATAGAAAACGTGAAAGTCTTGCAACTATCTGCGGTAGCGTCGACGAATAACAAATCAACGGCGAACAAAAAAAGTTTGACCACCTCCATTACTCGCATCTTTGCTAAGAGTAATTGTAGAAACTTGTCAAGATAATTCACAGAAGATGGATAATAAATATTCACGACTTTAATTGCAAGAATATAATTAACGTTCCTTGTCCCTGCTCTATGTATACACAACTAGCATACTTATATATTAATAAATATGCATTAATGTTAATTATCGTACAATAGAACTTCGTACTCAGGAATTAGTACAGAATAATAGCGCAGCTCGATACTGTTGCATATAATCGTAAATGCAAATACCGTTTGCGAAACACTTTCAACGGACCAATAAAACTAGATTATCGCTCGCAAATATTTAAATTATTTATTCGACAGTAAATATAATTGATTTCTCTATTTAAGTGAAAGGTGAACGTGGGCTTGAGATTTTATTACACATTTGATTGAAACGAAATCGTACAACGATAAAAATTTAGAAAATATGAGGTTACTTGGAAATTCATTCTTTTAAATGGAGATTTTATTATTTGATACATTTAGGTCTGTATAATTATTTGTTTATAATTTACGTGTGAATTTTATCGTTTTAAGTCGTCTTTTTAAGTTTCACCGAAATCGTTCGTTTCGTTACTTGTCACACGTCTCTGAAGGTTATAAATGCATAAAATCCGGAGTTTAATCATAATACAATGGCCTTTTTCGTTGCGTAAACTGTGAATGCTACGAGGGATATTACTGGAAGTTAGTGCGTGCGTTGCAAAGTCTTTTAAAGTGTACACGATAAATATACGTGATTGTTATGTGACGTTTGTTAAAACGGTTTCGTTTGTCGGCACAAGACTGTTTGCAATGTCAAAGGTAGCCAGCGGTAATTCTAATCTGTACAGCAATTTCTGCTGGCCTTTGTGCGACGGTATAATTACTGTTTAAGTAAAAGTTCAATGACGAAGATTTTCTGCACGTAAAAATGGAAAGCACTGGCAGTCGGTGCGGTTGATGTTTCAATTTTCAGGTAACAATGCTATTTTCAAGACATCAATGATTCATGCATTGACCCGAGATATAAAGGAATAACAGTGTATCGTTTTTCATCTATCGGTTTTCAAATTATACTTGCACAGACAACCGTTTTTATATCAAATTCTACAAGTTGAAAATTTAAAACGCTTGTTCGACGTTTTTATTTTTAACTCTACGTTATGATGGTTTTACTATTTTACAATTTAATCAAATTTAAATTTATATTGAATTAATGTTAAAATTAACAGTCTTATTAATAAATATGTGGAGTATATTAATATAAAAATAGTGAAATATGCAATATTTTTCATTAGTGTTAGTAAAAAAATGTGTTTCTAAGGAATATAAAGAAAATTTCGATACTTCGAAAATTCCACAGAATGTATATTGTATCTGCATAAGAAATTCATTTGTTACTGATTACCATATTCAATTTAGCTAAATGCATTTTTTAATCAATGGATTATTTACATGAAGAAACATATCAACATATAAACTGTCATTAGCATCATAAAATTATTCGCGTTTTAAATTATCAAAATAAAATTCCTGTCATTTCTACTGCAGTTTTCTTTCTTTTTTTTCATGAGTATATTCGTAATTTAAATCGAAATTCATTTAATTGGATTGAAATATAACAATATTTCTTTCCAAAAGTATGACTTAAGCTTTCATTTTAGTTTATACTTCTAATGAAAACATTCGTACTATTTATAAGGATCCATTAATTTATGTTATTTATATTTTAAACTGAACGTAGAATATGTATAGGACTGCCATGAAAATTATCTTTACGAACTGTTAATTCACTTGTGACGCGGATTCTGTATGCATTATCGATTAAAATTTTCGAACATCGTATAGTCTTTAACTTTTGACATTGTGTTTAAAGAAATTTTACTTTTCAGTCTAATTTTAACAAACTCTAATTTCTATCGCATTAAGCAAATAATTAGAATAATTTGTCATAAGAAAAACCTTTTACTTAATAACAACCTTCCCTTAGTATATTTTGAATCAAACATTAATTTCTCTAAAATTTCACCCCTATTCCGAGACAATCAATCGGTATCTTAATTCAACTTATCAAAGGCACAATTTACAAGCGAACAATTAGGAATCAAAACAGATCCGGAAACAACTGTTATACGTCGATCTCAACTGAAACAGTTGTGGGGACCAAAAAATATTCATAATCAGATCCACATCACTTTATCATTTCTGTTCCGTAGCTATTTTTATTCAGTTCTGTTACATATTGTAATAACCAATGCAGAACCAAACAACAACAGTCACGAAACCGAAACAACATCGTTTCCAAAGAAGCGAAACCAACACGATCGAAATGTCAAATCCCATACCGCCATAACTGTTAAATGCATCTTCGAATTCATAAAACCGTTCCAAGGACCAAAACCAATGTCACACCAGTTTCCAGTAAACATTCAATTCAGCGGCTTTCGCCAGTCTCAAACTATCCCTCCACACTTCCTTTCGAAATCTCCAATTGACCTAACCAAGACGTAGTTTCAAATATCCGTACAAAAGCAATACCAATCATCAAACATGAGAAACCAGTGAAAACCGCTAAACTGCACACGTAACCGCGAAGAGCAGCGAAAATGAAAAAAGCAATTGTACTCACCAGTCGCGGTCTGGATCTGAATCAAGAGTCCGATCAGCGAAACCAGGACGTAGATGTTATACCGGGGTGCGAGGATACCCCGTCGCAGGGTCGTCATCTCAGGCGGCCCCCGCCAGGCGCACGGTTGACCTGCCGCCGTCCCAACGGCCGCCTTCGGCAGCTTCGGCTTCACGATTTCCGGCTTCGGTCCCGGCAGCTCCGCGCCGCGTAGTCCTCGTGTTTCACATCTCATCTGCCTCCTTCGGTCGTTCCCTGGACAACCGGGTACCGATCGCGTTTTCCACGAAATCAAAGCCTCCGCTCTACCACGTATCCGTCCGGCAGTAGCGTCCCCCACTCGCCGGTCTCGTCATTTACAGACCGTTCGCTGAAAACGTTCCGATCGTTTACGCGCACGATCCTCTCCCGTCGCGGCGGCTCCTTTCAAAACCGACTGGCCCCCGTCCACTCTTTTATCCCCGCGTGCGTGCGTGCGTGCGTGCGAGCGAGCGCTAGTACACGCGGCAACGTTATCGAGCCGAAACCGCGCGATTCCTCTCTTTTCCTACTTTTCCACAGTTCCTCTTCTCCGGTTTCCTCGTGATCGTCCCTCGCGTACCGTCTACCTGGAAAACCGTAGCTCAGTCACGAATCGCGCGTACGCATGGCGGCGGCGGCGGCGGTTTCGGGGAAAAAAATCAGTGAATATGGAGAGCCAGCTGAAAGCGAGCCGGCACAGGTTACATGATTCCTCTCCCGCGAACGAACGATGGACCGGGTCACGATCGGTCCCGGAGAAGACACCGTGTCACTGTTCGCCGAAGAACTCCTCGGTCGAAACCAGTCCGCGACTGAAATCCCGCGCTCGCAAAATGGTACCCCGTTGTGGCCGCGTATGTGTGTGTTCAATCGAGACGCC